AAACAATGAGAAAGTCATAAAACCTAACCACGTTAGGAAGCATAGGAAGTCTAATCGAAGCCATATTGATCAAGTTTGAAACTGGGGGTGAATTATTTGATTATGATTATGATTTTGATTTTGATAATGGATGACATGGTTAGGTCCTTGTTTGGAAGCCATCAGATCTACACCCACGCGAATCTAATTTGCATCATAGATGTATTAATTGCACAATATATCTTTCACCTAACATCTCCAAATTAAAATTTAATCGTCCAGATTTCTTTATTTTTTTAATTAAAAAAATCAGAACCACTTAAATTTAATCCCAGTATCTCCACTCAAATACATATATTCTCACATGTATGGCGCTGCAAACCACGCCCGTCTATCTTATATGCTGTTCCTAATCCTAAATGAAATCTCAATCAATTTTATTTATCATATTTATCTATTTTTAAAGTTATTTTTATAATAATTGTATATATTAAAGAGTTTCCATTAAAAGTAATCTTTATAATAATTATATACATTAAAGAGTTTTCACTAAATAAAAGTTCTAACGCATACCATAACAAAAGTAATTTAGGAAAGACTTTCTATTAAACAAAAGTTCTAATGCATATGATAGCAAGAGTAATTTAAGCAAGATTACACACATTTATTATAAATAATTATTTTAGTGAACTTTTTTAATATTCACAAACTAGTTATCAAACTCTTATATTAAAGATGAGGTTGTATATGAGATTTTTTTTTTCATAAAGGACATAAATAGTTTGACTAAAATTTTTTGCATTGTTTTTTTAAAGGATTGAAATGAGTATTACTCCTCTAGTCCTTAATATAAAATCTAATTAAAAGGTTGATTTTAGTTCTATATGTAAAATCTATTTCACATGTTTATTAGTTTTTTTTTTTCAAAGTTAACCTTATTGATATTTCCTTTCTAAGTAGGAGAGTAAGAGAAGAAATTAAGAAAGACACTTATGGTGTTTTAGAAAAAAAAAATTATATTAACTAATTTAATTAACATCTTTAATCTATTTAAATTAGTTAATTAGGTCTTAAGAACCGGAGGTATAGAATGCAATCAATATTAAAAAATTGGTGCATTCTCATAATTGATAAATATTTGGTAAGGATGGACCGTGGATCTATAGATAGTATCATTAGCTTAAATATTTTCATTATATTGAATATTCATAAAGATTTCTCACATTAATTACACGTGTGCATATTTGAATCGATGTGATTAATCTTAAATAAAGAGCATGTCTACAAAATTTATAATTTGCATAATTAATTAACTCATGGGTAGTTTTTTGTATGTGCTCAATATATATGCATAATGCGTATGTTTGTAAGTACATTAATAAAAGGAGTCCTTTTTAATACCATTATCTAATATTTAGTGTTATCAAGTCCTTTTTCTAAAAGCTAACATAATTTTTTTTTTCATTTACTGGCATTTTGGTTTTTGTAAAATGTTTATTTTTAAATTTTATTCCAATAGTCTTGAGTTACCATTGAGAACATGTGACCCTTGTTAAAATTTTAAAAATTTTAAAAATATAGTAGTGTTATTAAAACTAATTCAAAGGTTCATTATACACATGAAGGAAACGTGTTCACTTGAAGGAGAATGGCAACCTGTATTAGAATTCTAAGTATCACGAGTCATGTATCTTTTAATATTTTTTTAATCTATGCTTTGAGAAAAACAATATATTAATTCCAACAAGAAATAATCTAATTTTAAAACTTATATATATAAAAACAATCATATCTTTTTATCACTCCACAATGAATTGATATATACACCAAACTATTAGCTATGTCATTTTCTTAAGTGAAAAAAGGTATTACCTCCAGTTCTATTTATAAGAGTTAGTTGACTAATTTGAAGAAATTAAAGAAATAAGTTAAATTAGTTATTTGTAATAAACATATATTGTTTTTCCTAAAATATCCTTACTAATCAAATGTATTGGTTAAAACTATTATTGTTAGAAAGACTATCGTAGGAAAAAAATGTATAAATAAAAGAGACAAAATGGATTGGGATCTTATATTTAGGATCAAAATAAAAGTCAAACAATATCTTATATTAAGAAGTAAAGGTAGTATGTAATAAATTTAAGGGTTAATGCTATTTTTCAGTCTCTAAAATTTGATCTTATTTTAGTTTTGATGGATGATTAAAATGTGAAACCAATGATTTTGGTTATTGAAACCTTATCTCAGGAACCAAAAAGGTTATTTTATAAATAAAATTTTTAAGCAAGCCAAAATGAGATCAATCAAATGTTAGAGATTAAAGCCACTGGTCTCGAATTTTACAAACAAAATTAAAATAAAGTTAAATTTTACGTACTCTAAATAACATTATTAGCCCTCAATTTTATTCATTCCATTATTTGATAAATTAGTGTTTAATTACGAATAATTGTGTTGTAGTTAATCATCATTACGTTCTTATCACATTCATAGTATCATCATTTCATTGTTGAAAACAAATTAAAAATTATACAACCCTTAGGATCTCCATAAGTTTTCCCTTAAATACATATTTGAAAAAAGGTTTAAATATATACATGATTATTATATTGCAAAATGCAAATAATAAATCAATATTTAAAGAAAGTTGCGTTGTTTAATTAAGTAAATAAATACAAAAGGTCAAATCTAGAATTGAATATTATACTATTAAATATGGAAATGCATATTAAGATAACGTGCAGGTATAATGAATGATATCCATGAAAGGCAATGCTTGATCACCACAAGGCATGGGCCATGATTAGCCACATGGGTTCATATATTGGAGACGCTTGTGCTTGCAAGTTGCAACAATGGAATGTTTAATAATATACTCCTCCGGTCCTTAATATAGGACCCAATTCTTGAGTTTGTTTTGGTCCTAAATATAAGACCCATTTCTCATATTTTTAAATTTTCTCTAAATTACCCCTATGGATACTCCCTCAACTATAATCAAGTAGAAGAGGGAGAGGGGTATTAAGAAAGATGATTATGGTGTTTTAGGAAAAATGTGTCACTTTTCTTATAATTAACTAATTTACCTAACTTCCTTAATGTAATCAAATTAGTTAAATGGGTCTTATATTAAGGACCGGAGGAGTAATTTACATAACTCGCATCCTTGTTTATGATGCAATCTCCCAAGCCTTTTCAATTATTTTTATTATTTTTCTTTGATTCTAGACGCAGGAGATAAATAATCAATTAATGGAAATGAATGAAATTAGTTAAACTAATCATTTTTAAAAATAGTTGTTAATTTTATTAAAATATTCTTTTAATTCTTTTATAACGGAATAAAATCTCCTTTTAATATGTGAAATAAGATAGGCAATTTACAAATTATAAAGTTAAAAGATAAATTGAACTGGAATCTTATATTTAAAGTTAAAAAAGTTCTTTTAATTAATTTTTATATATTTTTTATATTTAAGATGGGAGGGAGTACTATTTAGGATTCAATGACTTGGGTATGTTTACCATCTTATATGTCATGTTTGAAAATATTAATATTAACTTGTTATCGTAAATTTACAATCAACTAACCACTTTATGCCAAATCAATTTACTAGAATATAACATGAATAATATGCTAGAATTTTTTTTTGGCAAAAAAAAGTTCAGATTTATGAATTATTTCATTTAATAAGAATTCAAAACAAAAATTGTATGCCAAAAATGTCATCTTACCATATTAATTAATTTGTAAATTCATTTCATATAATAAATTGGGAAAAGGAGGAGCATTCCGCCCGTAAAACATGTTGATGTTATGATGTAATGACATTGACAAGTCCATTTTTATTTTATTTTTAACATAAATCAATAAGAAAATTAAACGCAAGCTAAAATAGTGAAATAGTAAATACCACAGTCAATTAACAACTTTCATAAATAAAAAAAGAAAGAGATAATGTATGTTCGAACTTTTTATAAAAATAAGTGTAAAAAAATATGAATTATGATAAAAAAAAGGAGGTAATGTGTAATAACAATAACTACATATAATTTTATGTGTTATGGGGATTCATAGTTTTCTAAAACTTTATAAATTTTTAAAAAAATAAATCAGCTGAAAAAACCAACAATAACAAGAAAATAATAAGATAATAACAATACAAAATTGGACTTAATCCCTTTTATAAAAGTATTAATATAAAATATAAAGTTATCATTTACCATTATCATTACAAAATATTCCTCCGGTCTTAAATATAAAACCCGTTTTGTAGTGTAATATTTATACTCCTCCGGTTCTTAATATAAGACCCATTTAATTAATTTGATTAGATTAAGGAAGTTAGGTAAGTTAGTTAATTATAAGAAAAGTGACACATTTTTCCTAAAATACCATAATCATCTTTTATAATATCCCCTCTCCCTCTTCTATTTGATTATGGTTGAAGGAATATCTATAGGGGTAATTTAGAAAAAATTGATAAATATGAGAAATGAGTCTTATATTTAGGACCAAAACCAACTCAAGAATTGGGTCCTATATTAAAGACCGGAGGAGTATTATAAAATGGGTTTTATATTTAAAAACGGAGGAATACAGATAAACATCCAGTTAAATTAAATTAAGAAATCATGTATATTTTCTAAAAGTATATTTGTGAGCATTCTACAATTTTAAATTCTTTTTATTTTTTTATATTTCTATACAAATTATTTATCTTTATATATCAATTTTCTCAACTCTCTTCCCAACAAGCAATTTCTCGCACGGATTATTCTTTGGTTTTTTCCGGGAAGAAGGTACGATTTTCATTTCTTAGAAAAAACTCAGAGTAAATGTGACCCAAAACAAAAACAGGAAATGCGAAAATGAAAGAGAAAAAGAAAGAAAATTTGTATTGTATTAGTGTAAAGCCATCAAAACCAAACCATCGTCGCTTTTCACTTCCAATTTCCATTTCTTCTTCTTCTTTCTCACAAAAGCATTTTTAGTCTCTCTCTCTCTCTTACTCAAGCTCAAAAAGCTGTGTCCACTCGTCGGCTCGTCGCAACCTTTCGGTTTTTAATTTTTAATAATCATTTCGAAATATTTCTTCTGTATATATATTTGTGTCTATCGTCCCTTCATCATCGTTTTCATCTTCCTCATATTCGTCTTCCTTGTTGATCACTGTTCATACATTGATTTGTACGTACTACGTACTCACGCGCGCACGTACGGCGTCGTTTTGACGGATGGCTGCCGGAGTGGAGTTATCGGCGGGCAGAACCGCTGGTGGTGGGATTGCTATGGAATTCCCGGCCGGTGATGAGAACTCTTGTTTGTCGCCGCAGAGGCTTCCGAGGAGGCTCCGGCGACGGTTTCTTGATGTGGAGTGCAAGTCTCCGAGGACTGTTGAGGAAATTGAAGCGAAGCTTCGAGATGCTGATCTTCGAAGACAGGTAATTTCTTATTTCGGAATAGTTAAGTTTGGTTGGTGAAGCAGTTTACTGATTTTAGGAACTAACACTGGAGGGGCTTCAAAATTATGTGTTTTCTTCCGCTTTTTTCGCTTCGTGATTTGGAGTTATGATGAATTCTCTTTTGGAAAGTTTGGTGATTATGAAGCACCAAGATCGTAATTATTTTTCTATTGGATTCATCGGCTTCCAGGTAGAGCGGAGAATATCAATCAGTTTCGAAAAGTAATTCTTCCTTTTCTTTCATTCCGCGTCAGTTCTTTTCATAGTCTCCCTTGCTTTGTTTACAAGGTTATTTCTATGTTAGGTAGGAGAGGATGCTTTTCCGTTCGAAATTTGTTTCCCCCTTCACGGTGGTGCTTTTCCCATGGTTTTCAATGCTGAATTTTCGTTTTTGTTATGTTTTCCCGTCAATTCTTTAAATTTGTATCGCGGCGTTCGTTTTTGTTGGAATTAAATAGAACTTCTGCACTGATGGTATGCAATGGTTCCTCCACCCGACACGGATGCCCCCCCGGGGCGCTCCTCTTCTCTTTCCTTCCCTCGTTTTTCCTTTGTAATGTTTTTTTCCTTTTTACATAAATCCTAAGTCTTTTTTCTTTTGTCATATATACTTCTACCCTTTTAAATTTAATTATTCTTACTTTTTCCCAATGTTGCCTTAACCATAATTTTCATCTTTCAACAAATATTAAATTTCAAGGCATGTTTGAGGATTTTGGAAGTTCGCTTTGCCAAATTTTTTCCCCTTCAGACGGATGCTCATGAGTGCCCTCTTTCTTTTACCTGTTGCAGAAGCACTATGAGACACTCTCGTGCAAGGCACGTTCAAAACCAAGAAGCCCTTCCAGGTCCTCATCTCAGGAGGAGGATCTTGGCCAGCGACTAGAAGCTAAGCTGCAAGCCGCCGAGCAGAAGAGGTTGGTTCTCGATGTTGAATAGCCGACGTTATAGTTGTAGTTTACCGTAATAAATATTTATGTACAGTACTGTTAAAGTCACAGTTTCCAAGTTTCTCCACGCTGCGATTTACCTATCTTGGTTAGACTTATTTGGTCTATACCAGTTTCTCTCATATACCGAGAAATAGGATAGTCTTTTAAGCTTGAGACTCTTTACGGTCATTTCATGATAAAAGTAGTTGGAATAATATGTTTATAAATAATTTGCTTCTATTCAGGAATAATTAATAGTTAAACAAGATTTCTTTTCATATGCCAATGGAATTTGGATTTTGATTTATTTGGACCATTGAGCTAATTTTGTGGCAAATCTACAGACTGAGCATTTTAGCAAAGTCTCAGAGGCGCTTGGCAAGGTTAGATGAATTGCGGCAAGCAGCTAAGACAGGAGTAAAAATGCGTTATGAGAATGAACGTGTGAAGCTTGGGACAAAAGTGGAATCTCGTGTTCAGCAGGCAGAGGTTAATAGGATGCTTATACTCAAGGCTCGCAGACAAAGAAGGGCTACCTTGAGAGACAGATCATCTCAATCATTGTTACGCAGGATGGCTCGAGAGAGCAAATATAAGGAGCGTGTACGTGCTGCAATTCACCAAAAACGTGTTGCTGCTGAAGCAAAGCGACTTGGATTGCTGGAAGCAGAGAAGAAGAGGGCACATGCTCGAGTGTCACAAGTGAAACACATAGCTAAGTCTGTATCTAACCAGCGAGAGATTGAGAGAAGGAAAATGAAGGACCAGTTGGAAGATAGATTACAAAGGGTATAATAGTTGCTTGAAGTTGTTTGCATTCAAAATTTTCTTATGTCACTCACTGTCTTTGATTGTCCATGACTTTACTCGTGTTTCACGGTATTACTCATTAATTAGGCAAAAAGGCAAAGAGCAGAATATCTCAGGCACAGAGGAAGGTTGCGTGGTCACGTGCGAGAGAATTGGAATAGAATGCCAAAGCAAGCAGAGATTCTTTCCAGAAAATTAGCAAGGTTATTTGCATTTAAATTAGAATCTTTTGGTTGCTAGTGTTAGAATCTAGGATGACTTTTTATGCCAAGCAATGTGCTAAGATTCTTTGGAGCTTAATTTTTTGTTCTTCGAAACTGAAGTATAGTGAATTTTCCTATTGAGTTTCTTTCTGGTTTGCATCATTCACCTATTCCGTGTAGCTATTATATTCTTCAATTATTTCCTCTAAATTTGCTTGAAATTACTCAAAATCATCAACCTAAACATCATTGCTCATTGTAGGTGCTGGAGGCAATTCCGAAGTCTGACGAAAACAACTTTTGCCCTGGCAAAGGCTTATGATGCTCTGGGGATTAATCAGAAATCTGTCAAGTCAATGCCTTTTGAGCAGCTTGCCCGTCTGATTGAATCAATTTCCACAATTCAGACGACAAAAGCTTTACTTGACCGGGTTGAGAGCCGCCTTCAAGTATCAAGAGTGGTTGACCCTGCTAATATTTTATCTAGTTTGGATAATATTGATCACTTGCTTAAACGGGTTGCTACCCCAAAAAAGAAGGTGACTCCTAGGAGTTCTACAAGAAGCAGGGAGACAAAGAGAGTAAGCTCAGTCAAGGAATCAAACAGGAACCCAGCTAGGTCATCAAGGTATCCAGTAAGAGTTGTTCTTTGTGCTTATATGATATTGGGCCATCCAGACGCTGTTTTCAGTGGAATGGGAGAGCGTGAGATTTCTCTAGCTAAGTCTGCCGAAGAATTTGTCCAGATGTTTGAGTTGTTGGTAAAAATTATACTAGAGGGGCCTGTACTGAGTTCTGATGAAGAGTCTGATTCAGCAACTTTAAAACGTTTCACCTTCAAGTCTCAGCTTGCTGCTTTTGATAGAGCATGGTGCTCGTACTTGCATTGTTTTGTGGTCTGGAAGGTCAAAGATGCTCAATTATTAGAGAAGGATTTGGTTAGGGCAGCTTGCCAACTTGAGGCGTCTATGATTCAAACTTGCAAGTTGACTCCAGAAGGAGATAATGATAGGCTTACTCATGATATGAAAGCAATTCAGCATCAGGTAATTACCCATGTCAATTCTGAGTTTTCTTATTGAATACCAGTTTACAGAATCTTCTTCTTCTTCTTCCTGGTGATGAATTTTTTTCTTTTATTATCCAATTTTTCTCCATGCCTTGTCTCCTGCCTTGAACATTTTATTCCTCTTATATGTATTTAAGCACCTTTGTAATCGGATTTTTTTTCTTCAAAAGGTTTCTATTTGTGACTGAGCTCTGGTGAGGTGGCTGTCATGTAACAAAAAGGGGTTCTGTTAAATATCTCGTGTAAGTTTATTTACATATATTTCTTGATGCAGGTCTCTGAAGATCAAAAACTTTTAAGAGAAAAGGTGCAGCACCTGAGTGGAGATGCTGGCATTGAGCGTATGGAGAGTGCTTTATCTGAAACACGATCTAAATTCTTCAAAGCAAATGAAAGTACTAGCACAAGCCCATTCAACTTCTCACCTTCTCTTTCACCTGTTGCTAGCTCCACAGAATTAAACACTCCACTTGAGAGTAACCGAAAGCCTAGTCGTGTGGTTCGCTCCCTATTTAATGAGTCTGAACCTTCTTTGCCTAGAGGGTCCAGCTTGTCTGCAGGTAGAATCAATTCAGATGGTCAGCTGGGCTCTTCTGATGAGAAGTTGGTAACTGAGAACGAACTCTTTGTGAATGAGTTTCTCCATGAACGTCACCATAGTTTCTCTGATGGCTTAGGCATTGCTGATCACTGCCAAAGTAGCATCGAGGTTGGTGCATCATCGTAATTTTATTGTTATAATACCATCTGGCAGTTATTTTTGTTGAAATAATACTTTGGCCTTTGAGGATGTCTATGTCCAGAAGTTATCTTTTTAGAGTCATTTTGAAGATAAATTTTCTCACGCAGAAATATATAGAAAATGCACCTGCTGATGGCAGTCTATAAAATTTTTGAGTCCTGATTTGCTTGTGTGTTTTCAGGGAAAAATAAAGCAGACAATGGAAAAGGCTTTCTGGGATAGCATCATGGAATCCATAAATCAGGAACAACCAAACTATGATCGAGTTGTTCAACTCATGAGAGAGGTCAGGGATGAAATTTGTGAGATGGCTCCTCAAAGCTGGAAGGAGGATATTCTATCAGCAATTGATCTAGACATTTTTTCCCAGGTAGTAGCCTGTCTATAATTTTGGTGTGTGATGATTATTTAGTTTCTAAATTGGAATATTGAATCTTAACTCTTCCACTTCTGACGTGTCTCTCTTCTTTGTTTCTGAAGGTTCTGCAATCAGGTGGTAACCTGGATGTCGATTACCTTGGAAAGATTCTGGAGTTTTCACTGGTCACTTTGCAAAAGCTTTCCGCTCCAGCCAACGAGGAGACAATCAAGGCCAAACACCATAATTTATTTCTGGAGTTGAATGAAATATGCCAATTAAGAGACGAGTCAAAAAATTCATGTGTCATGGCTCTAATCAAGGGCTTGCAGTTTGTCCTAGAACAGACTCAGGTATGTTTTAGAGATTGGATACCTCCTAGATTTTGTTTTTTTCCTTAATTGTTTTTATGTTTAACTAAGCTCTTATGACAGATTCTTAAGAAAGAAATAAGCAAAGCCCGCATAAGATTAATGGAGCCTTTGTTAAAGGGACCTGCTGGTCTTGATTATCTTAAGAATGCCTTTGCTAACCGTTATGGATCTCCATCTGATGCCAAAACCTCTTTGCCTTCGACGCTGAGATGGCTCTCATCTGTTAGGACATCGAAAGATCAGGACTGGGAAGAACACTTGAACTCCTCCTCAGCTTTGGGAATTGTTAATAGCTCCTCCTCCCAGGGATGCCTGCCTTCCACCACTCTCAGAACTGGGGGAAGGATTCTGTCTAAAGCAACTGGCAGCCAAACAGCCTTTTCTGCTGCTGATGCAATTACTACAGGTTCAAAATCAGTAGATGGATAGAACATTTTTAGCAGAAAAAATTGCTTTTAGAGATATTATTTTCACATCTGTTGCTTGAGTTCATGATTTTCTGAGACATGCCCGTGTGTTTGAACAGGTGATCAGCTGCCAGAATGCAGAGGAGAATTAATTGATCTAGTTGTGAGGCTTGGTTTGCTAGAGTTAGTTAGTGGTATATCTGGTCTGACTCAAGAAGATCTACCTGAAACTTTATCACTTAACTTATTCAGGCTGAGGTCTGTTCAGTCTCAAATTCAGAGGATTATTGTTATTTCCACTAGGTAAGCGGCACAAAAAATTGTGCGCAAAAAATCGTATATCTGAACCGTTATTTAAGAGAGTATGTTGTGTATGTTTCTAAGTGGTGAACATTTTTATCTGGAATTGCAGCATCCTTATTTGCCGCCAGATTCTTGTGAGTGAAAAGGCAGTAGGTAGCACCGTGGGAATGGAAAGCATAGTATCAAAGTGTGCCGAAAAACTTGCAGATCTCTTGGACCGGGATCAAGAAGTCAGTGTTGACAATATCGTTGAAGTAATCTGTGATTTCTCTGCGGGTGGCGATTTAGACATTGATGCAGGAAAACTACAGAAAATGAAGGTAGTTGCTGCCAGGATGCTTCCAAAGAGCTTACAGGCTGGAGATGCAGTGTTTGAGAGGGTGTCCAATGCAGTCTATACAGCCGTTCGAGGTGTCGTGCTTGGCGGAAATGGGGTCCAGGGTAGAAAGTTAGCAGAAATGGCCCTCCGAAAGGTAGGGGCTGGTTTACTGACTGAAAGGGTGGTGAAAGCTGCTGAAGTTTTGATTGTGGCTGCCACTATATCCGTAAGTGTTCATGGACCATGGTATAAATATTTGACTGATAACATGAGTAATAATAATAATCAGGAAGTACAGGAATAATAAAATACGGTTGTACATAGCAGCGTGAAGTTGTCACTGTATCTTAGGGTTGTAAAGTGATAGGTGATATCGATTGTTGTTAAGCATGTTGAATTCTTTTAGTGTATAGTAATGAGATGTATATATTTGTCTAAGAATGTTATTTCTCTGAATTGTTTGAGGTTTTCCTCTATCTCTCTTTCTCTCTCTCTCTCTCTGCCTTAAGGGTCACACGAATCTTGAAAGACAACTCCAGTGTTTTTCTATAACTTGTGTTTCATGTCAAATTGATTTCCGGGGGTGGCTCCCCCCGAACATCTCTTGTTTAGAGCCATTAGAAGGAAATTCCTTGCGGAGCCATTAGAAAGACATCCTTAAAAATTCGCAGCAGAGTAGTTGTAGTCAAACAATGCACGCAATTGGTCGATGTCTTGTATTTCTCTCTATTCCGTTGTTTATGGAAAGGAAAATTAATCTTTTAGTCTCTAAAATTTTGATTAGTTATTCACTATAATTTGAAGGTTCTATTTTATTGTTTATTTAAGGGAAAACTAATGTAAAATCCCATTTCCTAAAAAAGTTATAGCTCTCAATTTTGGGGGAGGCAAATCAATTGTGGTGATTTGGAAGTGAAGATGGGAGATTAAATTATTCATCAAATGTCAAGGTTCAAATATTTAGAATTCATTATATGTGAGGATAATGAAATTGAGGGAGATGTTTTTTATAGAATACAAGTTGAGTGGTTAAAGTGGAGGAAGGTTATAGGAGTTATTTGTGATAAGAAAGTACTTGAGAAGCTTATAAGTTAGGGTAGTAGAAATGAAATTGTTGAAATGGATGTGTGGTTATATAGGAAAAGATAAGAGTCGAAATAAAAATATCAGAGTAAGAGTAGGTGTGGTGCTTATCAAAAAGAAAATGGTTGAATATTATTTGAGATGGTTTGGGCATATACAAAGAAGATCATTGGAGGTGCGATGAGAAGGGTAGATTATACAGCTTGGAGCTTTATAAAAAGGGGCAGAGGAAAACCAAGGAGAATGCTCAATGAGATCTTATGGTCCATAACATATCTAAAAACTTAGTTGTTGATAGAGCATAATAGCATCATGCGATCTATGTAGCCAACTCTACCTAGTGGGATAAGGCTGTTTCTTACTACTTTCGATCTTAATTATAAGAGCTAGTTGACTAATTTGAGAAAATTAAGAAAATAAGTTAAGTTAGTTATTTGTAATAAATAGGTGTTATCTTTCCTTAAATATCCTTACTAATCAAGTGTGTTGGCTAAAACTACAATTATTAGAAGGACTATCTTCAAAAAAATTGTATAAATATGAGAGACAAAGTGAACTGCGGTGTTATATTAGGACTAAAATAAAAGTCAAACGAGGTCTTATATTAAGGACCGGAGGTAGTATTTTTTAGAACAAGTTTTGGAAATAAAACAAAAAATTGTTCGGAAAATAATTTTAAAAAAAGACATTTGAAAAAACAAAAAATAACACTTAAATAAGTGGTAGTTGTCATCGATAATAATAGGTAGCGGATAATAGATGAGAAGAGAAAAATAATTTCTCCAATTTAAAAAAAACATAAAAACAAAGACAAGAAGATATGTAAAGGTTGTTTTGAGCTTTTAGTTTTTTAAAAAAATGTTACTATTTTTTTAATTATTAAACAATTTTTTTTGCTTTTGTGTTTTTAAAATAAAAAAATTATTTTCAAGACAATAGACCGAACAAACCCTAATTTTCCCTTTATTTAAGGTCAATATGATAATATTGAGATTGACATTAATGTTGATATCAATAGGCAGACAAATTTGTGTAATATAATTTAGGGGAAAAAAAAAGCGGCAATTTCCTTCCTCGATGTTTTCTGTATCCATACGAATTCAAATTTAAAACCTTACGTTTAAATGGTTAAAATTTCTTAATTATCCAACGTCTTTCGGGAGATGTAAAATGTGTTTCATTATTTTTTGAGTAAAATATTCTGACTACCTTTTTAATTTGCATCAATTACACAAACTCCCTTTTTATTTTAAAAATATATAGTTTAATCCAATAAGTTAACACCCTTAGGAATATTCTAAAAAGATTCTAAAAACATTATTTTTAACTGAAATTTATATTAAAATAAATTTTACTTACTATTTTACCCTTTATTCTAATAAATTTCTAAATTATGTATTTACAGTCATATAAATTTCATTCATTTAAGGTGAACATAAAAGACTTGATTAAAAATTTAACTAATATTTTCAATAAATATATATTGACAAAACATGTTTATAAATTTTTGTAACAAAATGTCTTCAAAAATTTTGAATTATAAGTTTAAATAATTTATAAAACCTTTTAAACTTATATTATTTAAACTCTACGATAAACAAAAACTATGTATTTAGAATACATTTTTACAATTTAAAAGAAATCAAAGTAAATAATTTCTAATGAATGTGATAAAATATTAAAATTATAAAATTTTATAATTTGGATCAAAATTAATAAATTTTGTAACATATTAGAAATTTATAAAATATACGTATTGCAAAATATAAATGTCTAATAATTATTAAGTTAAAAAGAGGCATTTTGATCAAAGAAATAATTTAAAATTAAACTTAACGGTCAACTAACGATTTGGATGGATAAAAATTTAATATTAAATATAGAAGAAAGGTTTATGTAACATATATTTTAATTGTAAATGAGGTTTATATATGTTTTCAAAATAGAAGGGAGGTTTTAACTTTGATTTTGAGGAGTTAAAAAACCCAAATAGTATTAAGTGGGTTTCAAAAAAACGGAGATGTAACCAAAAATTACAATTATAATTAACACCAAACATTAATATAGCAGAATATACAGTACCGGGCAAAAAGTAGAATATATAATAATTTAGGTTATTTTACAAGTCATTTTAGTAAATTTAGTACTACTTGCTGTTTTAAATATCAGACCTTATTTATAATTTATAAACAAGATTTTATATTAGGATTGTAGGTAATATTTGAGTTGAATAAAAATTCATGCAAGGAGTATAATTTTCTGAAAAATACTACTCCTCCGGTCTTTAATATAGGACCCAATTCTTAAGTTGGTTTTGGTCCTAAATATAAGACTCATTTCTTATATTTATCAATTTTCTCTAAATTACCCATATGGATACTCCCTCAACCATAATCAAATAGAAGAAGGAGAGGAGGTATTAAGAAAGATGATTATGATGTTTTAGGAAAAATATGTCACTTTTCTTATAATTAACTAACTTACCTAACTTCATTAATCTAATCAAATTAGTTAAATGGGTCTTATATTAAGAACCGGAGGAGTATTTATGATAGTATAACCTTTTTTTCAAAAAAAAAAAACGGCTCACATCATCACGCCGTGCGTCGGGTCGGGTCGGGTCGCAGTCAACAAAAAAGTAGTCAGAAATTGAAAACTCTGACCCGATTCAGTCGGAAATTCATGGCCTCCGCTCAGCTCCTCCCCGCGCACTTCCATTCCCAGGTACGCCTCTTCTCTTCATTTAGTTTTTTGGTTCTTCGGAAAATAATGGAAAATGATCATACGAGGGAACCTAGGAAACTGTATCAACCTCTTGTTTTGTTGCCCCTCATTCTGATGCTTAATTTAGCTGAGCTTGTAGAGATAATATATATTTAATTCTGTGCTTTTGATATCAACCAAGGCGGGCGAGCTGTCCATTTCTTTGTTTTTCTCTGGAGCCGTCACTGTAAACGGTAAGAAATTGACAGCTGGTAGACGAGAGGAACGCATGGATTGTGAAATAAGCAACCAAAATAAAGTCAAAACCATTGTCATTCGGGAATTAGTATTAGTACTACGTAAGCATTTTCTTTTTCTAGACTAGACGATGTGTAATTTCAGTGCTGAAGACTGAAGCATCTAGTTCTATAGTAATCAAATGGAGAGTAACATTTTACTTTTGTACGTCACGGTTTTTCTGATGAGCATGCTTTATTTTCTTTCTTTCTGTTTTTTCTTCCGTTTTCCCGTGTACTGAGGCTTACATTTCATGCTTTTGCGTTCCTCCCCTCATTTATTCTCTTTCTCTAGAGCTGTCGCAAGCCAAATCCAATCCAGTTTCCTCCCCTGCTGTTTAAACAAATAAGGAGCTCAAGCTTCCTGTTTCATAATTCAACAACTAATCAGAATAATCCAAGGAAGGTGGTTTTGAACGTGCAAGCAGATCGATCTTCAGCAACCATGCAGAAACGAGAGATGAAAGTTCCTCATGTACTGACAGTTGCTGGCTCTGATTCCGGGGGTGGTGCCGGTATTCAAGCTGATCTGAAGGCTTGTGCTGCTAGGATGGTTTACTGTTCCACCGTGATCACTGCTGTCACTGCACAGAATACTGTTGGAGTCCAGGTTGAAGTTTCATATTAATTCCATTGCTTTTGCTTACGTTCATTTCTGAGGAATTAAAGAAGAAAAGGCAAGAATTTAATTCACAATTCGCAAATATTATATGATAAAGTTAATTGAAACAGAAGTGTTAAGCTAAATATTTTTACTAGGCTACACAATTAGTAAGTTGGCTTAGTTTAATTACTTTTTGACACTAATTTTTGATAAAACCATCCTCAAATAACTTAAAATTGTTAGGGGGTGGACATCATGCGTGAGGATTTTGTGGCTGAGCAGCTTAAGTCTGTGCTCTCTGACATGGATGTCGATGTGGTAAGTCAAAATACTGAGTGCTACAGTGGTTAGCTGCAAGTATTTTGCTGGTTGTAATCTCATAGGATTGAGTATCCAAAGAATTAAGGAACAAACAGGTGACCAAACAGAGAAAGAAAGGTTTGATAAAGCAAGCATAAAGATGTTACCGCCTGTATGCAAATGTTTGCATTCCAAGAGTGAAGTAGAATAAATGGTTGTCATGAATTTGTGGGCATATTGTGAAAGTTAAATTATATGGTAATCTTGAAATATAATTTTTAAACCGAGTGGCTTATTAAGTTATGATTGTATTTAAATGCTCTTTCATTGTGAAAATTTGAAATAAAAGAGTTTTTTTTTGTGTAGCTGTTTCTTCTTGACATGACGTGAGGTATTCGTTACTCAAATGCTGATTTATTTCCCTCCTAAACTAAATGTTATGTGCCTAGGTCAAAACAGGCATGCTGCCGTCTCCTGGCATA